AATAAAGCTATTTGGCCTATGGCAAGGCAGCTTAGAGGCAAGCGGGAAATTCAAAGGGAGAGACAGAAAGAAGAGGGGGAGAAGACACCAGCGAGCTACCCAAGGAGCAACATGTAATGGGATGCAGGTAAAGCCACAGACCATAACTAATGAATTAAGGATTAATAGTTATGGGCTAATTTAAGATATAAGAGCTAGCTAGCAAAAGGTTTGAGCCATGGCCATGCAGTTATAATTAATAGAAGCCACTGTGTGTTTACTCAGGTCTGAGCGGCTGCAGGACTGACGGGTGAGAGAGATTTGTCCTGACTGCGGGCCAGGCAGGACACAGGAAAACTTCGAGCTACAGTTCCCTTCTTGTGTGTGCACAGAAGGTGAGATACACAGAAGAGTCTTGTGGAAGCTGTCCAGGGAGCCACTGTCACACTTGAGGAGATATGCCATTTGCCCAGTGCCTGGATGGCTCATCTTTCTCAGAAGAGCAGGTACAGCAACTTCTTGCATGAGCTTAACAAATGAAGAGCTAGAGAGGAAAGAGGAGAAGGAAGAAGGAATAAGCAGATTCCAGGAACGGTAGGAGAAAAGAACTGGGTGTGGCGCTGGGGTGGGGGAGCTTTAAGTGTGGACTTCAGTCTAGAAAGGCATCTTCCTTCTAAGAACCCCTCAGGGTACATTGGTAGAAACTGTATCCAATGGAGGAGCAGCAGTATTATCAGCAGTCCTAGATCAAAGATCACAGTCAAATTTTGGTCCTTCCTTTATAATGCTTTTCTTGTCTATGGGTTATTTTCTACATAGTATTTTAATTATACATCTTAATATTTTCAATAACTTAAATTTTCACTGTCCCTTTCGTCCTTATTTACTTAAAAAAAATCCCTTCAAAGTAGCACATGCCGTTAAGAGTTTGCTTAGGCAAACAGTTTTTTTGTTTTTGTTTTTGTTTTTTTTTTTTTTGGTCTAAATTTTGGGAATCCCTTCTGCCCTCCACAAATAAAGACATTTAAGTTTTCTAAATAGTCTTCTGTCTATGTAGAATCAAGATGAATGTTTTTAAAAAATTGCAAAATTATTATTTTTTTAAGCCACGCATTTTTTGTTTGAGGTCTTCCTACATTGTTCTGGCTATCCTTGAACTCACTATGTAGAGGTCTCAAACTCACCAAGATCCACCTGCCTCTGCCTCCCAAGGGCAGGGACTAGAGGGATGTGCCACCATGCCTGGAAAGAAGGCATTTTTGACATTCCTAAAGTCAGCCATCAAAGGTAACATAGGATAAGACGAGGATCCCAATTACATCACTTCTGTGCGGCTAAAAGAAAACAAAAACACAAAAACCATGAACTTCTCAACACCAGGATGTATTGTATTATAAAGTTGAGCCACTGCCTGTTCACTTGAAGTCGTAAAATACAAGGGAGAGCAAAAATGGAAAGCAGGAACTTCTGACCTACCGTTGCCTGTCTCTTCTACCTCTGCTCCACAATGTCACTGATTTACATTCTCCTGCTTATCCGAAAAGCTCCTCTTACCAATCATTTATACCCTGGTGTCCATTTAAGCCAATAGTTCAGAAGCATCTGTCATTCAAGCCTGATTTCTCTCAGGCAATGAAACCCTTGGCTCTTACGTGTGAGCAGGTCAGGGATGATTCTGGCATGTTAGAGAATCAACAATTAGAGAATTATTGAATCCTGAACTGTTGTGGAATATTATTTAACTATGAAAAGATGTGTTACACTTGTTTATGCTGCGCAATATTACTTTAACTGTGTAAAGGTGTGCTGCATTTGTTTATGCTGCATTGGTTTAACAATTTAAGGATGTGTGTTTAATTACGCAGAGATGTGTTGCACTTGTTCCACTTTGCCTGCCTAAGGCAACTGATTGGTTTAGACTGATTGGTTTAAGGAGCTGAACGGCCAATAGCTAGGCAGAGAGAATAAATAGGGGTAGAAATCTAGGATCAAGAGAGGAAAGAGAGAAGAGAGGAGAGAACAAGGGAGATGCCCAGGGCCAGAAGCCAGACAGCTGCCAGTCAGCCAGACAAGAGAAGCAGTTGAAGTAAGGAAGAAAGGGAGAAAGAAAGAAAGAAAGAAAGAAAGAAAGAAAGAAAGGAAGGAAGGAAGGAAGGAAGGAAGGAAGGGTGATATATTGTGTATCCTAATAAAATTTGCCTCAAGATGAGAGGACAGAACAAGCCACTAGATTAGACATAGAGGCCAGGCAGTGGTGGCACGCACCTTTAATCCTAGCACTAGGGAGGCAGAGATCCATCTGGATCTCTGTGAGTTCAAAGCCACCCTGGACTACATGAGATTGACTCAGTCTAGGAGAGAAACAGAGCCAGGAAGTGGTGGGACACACCTTCGATCCCAATACTTGGGAGTCACAAGCCTTTAATCCCAGCACTTGAGATCTCATGCCTTTACTTGGGAAGCACACACACCATTAATCCCAGCACTAGGAAGGAAGTGATGGCTGGGTGGAGAAAGGTATATGAGGTGTGAGGAGACAGGAACTGAAAGCTTTTCAGCTGGAGAGCTTTCAGCTGAGGACTACTTACATACTAACCACCAATTATGATAAGCTGTTACTGTATGGGTATAAATGGCCCCAAATGCTCATGCACTGAAGGCCTTGGTCCCTGAGTGGTAGCACTATTGCAAGTGACTGGGTCACCAGGGTACTGCCTTTAGCAATGGGTCAACCCATTGTGAAGTTAATAGCTTAATGGGCTATTGGGCATTGTGGGTGCCTTTGCTTGTCTCTGCCCCTTGCTCTGTCTCTTTGCTCCCCAGCTGCCTGGAGCAGCTTTTCCTCTGCCACACTTTTTCCCATGGTGTACAGAGAAACTTAGCCAAGTGGCCATGGGTTGAAACCTCGGAAACCAGGAGCCAAAATGACTCTCTCTTCCTATCATGTACCCTGTGTGCTTGTGCATGTATTATGTGCAAGTTCATATACCTGTCACATGCACTTGGAGGCCAGATGAACACACTGAGTGCCTTCTTCCTTCTCTTACCTTATTTGTGAGGCAGTCTCTCATTGGAACCCCAAGATGGCCATTTAGGTTAGATTAGTAACTTCCCTGTATCTGCTGATCTCCACCCAGAATACTTCCTCCAGCTCTGGGATTACAGGCACGTGTGGTCATGTCTAATATTTACCTGGGGGCTGGGAGTTTGGACTCAGGCCCTCTTGCTTTCACGGAAGTGCTCTACCCTCCCCCTACCCCCAGCTCTCTCTGCATCCCCTCATCAAGCATTTTGCTAGTGATGGGATGGATGCTGGGGAGCTTCCTGAAGATCAATGTCAAAGCAGTTGAAATGGTAATCTCAGACATGGGATCTCAGGATGGCACACTTCAAAAACAGCTGGTTATTTTCATGATGTATCATGAGGACTGAAGTTTTGTGGCTGTTTCTCTCTTATCTCATAAGACTGGGTAGTCACAGCAATGGCCCTCTGAGTGTAATAAAATAATAATGAAGTATATTGTATTGTATTGTTTCTGAGCTTTAAAGGTCCTTAAATTCAGAAAGCAAAGACAAACATAAGCTTCCAAAATACAAGTGAGTTTGAAATGTGTGCTTTTGTTTTGTGCGATACACATACATACCAAATTATTATAAGTCATATTAAGATTTATTTAAAAACACATGGTTACATTATAAAGCATAACATTATAATAGTTAAAGCAGCAATAGTTTTTATTACAAATTCTAAAAAAAAAGAATCCAACTTTATATGTAAAAAGGAACACCAATTATTAAAAACATCAAAATTATCTACTGAACAAAACATCTTTACATTTGCACAGGTACAATAGGGTACTTGTAGGGTGTTGTAGACATAGAAGTTTTGGATTGTTTTAGGCCTCCATGCCCAACTGCTATTAAATATAACAATAACAAAATAAAGCAAAAAACAATTTGGCACTGCTGGTGGACATGAAAAATGAGGGGCCCATCCATGAATTGTGGGTACAGAGGATCACCCTGTTGGCAGTACAAGGCTTTCTACCGACAGGGTTTTCGCCATGCATTTCTCACCTGGAGGCTGTGTATCTGTAGGAAATACAGCAGGCCGGGCCCTACCATGCCAATTCTAAGACATAGCCACCTCCCTCCATGAGTCACAGATATTTCTTGGTCCTTATTCACCTTAACGTACGGATGGGATATTTGGAACTGAAGTTAAGGATCCCAGATGACCTTCTACTCATTGGAAGTCCTTTGCTTCCTACTCTACCTCACTATCATAGACACTGCCAAAGTGTAAGAATAGACACCCACATACAGTAGGCTGCCTGGCTGTGGCATCAAACTGGGGTCCAAGCTGTACTCTCTAAGGGCCTATCAGTGGTCAGAAAGGCTGCTTAGAGCCCAGATACCGTGGCAGTGGCTTCAGCCATGGGTAAGAACAGACAAGTCCAGAACTCCTGGCCAGTAGTGTTCAAATTGGGTTATGTCATAACAGAATACATTTGACATCAGTAAGACCAAAACTGTGTAAATATAAACAATCATGAATACTACAAAAGCCAACACCTAAACCAGCAATACAACAGTAGTATCAGACCTCTCAAAATCCACAAAGCTATTTTAAATTCTATAAATATAAGTACACAAGGGAAAAAAAACTCAGCTAAACAATAAAGTCTAGCAATCTTATTTTCACATCTATAGCTAAGATGACCTTGGCTGGTATTATTTACTACATGAATTTCAGTACTTTTCCTTGATATATAAAATAGAAAATGTACAGAGAAGGCACTATTTGGGCACTAGCAAAAAGAACAGTTAGCGTCACTCATGTCACCAACCCCTACACCACATGAATGTGAATCATCCATTAATAACACTAAACCCAATCTTTTAAAGTGCTGTTGAAATTGTATTTGGGGGACTATCACTTGAAGTGTATCTGGAGAAATCCCTAGCTTGTTGCAAGGAAGCAAGAGCTGGGACTTTAGTGCAACTTCATTATCTGGGTGGCAATTCTGGGATACACATACTTTTTTTTTTTACACAGTCACCACATGTGCACATGTGCACATGCGCACATGTACACACACGCACTCCTGATATAAGAAGCAAGAAGGTAAGGTGTAGGTATTCTTTCTGAGTCCTTAGCACTGTAGGACAATTTCTTTCCTTCACCTGCGCTAACTATTCAAACAAACTTAGAAAATTATCTTGTAATAATTCTGAATCACAGTGTTTTATTAGAAAACCTTTAAAACAATGACCTGCAAACATTTAGGACTTGGAAAAAATTGGCTAAAATAAAAAAAAATCTTTATAAAAATTAAAATTATCTAACCTTTTATTCTTTAGGAAGATGATTCAGAAGCTGGTATTCTTTTTAAATCAATTACAGTTAGTAGTACTAAAGTTAACATACCAAAAGTAGTTTCAATGTTGATTCTACATATTACCATTGATACATATCTGTATATGATATATACATGTGTATAGATAATATTTTGGTTATTTTTTGACATTTTTATCACTAAGGAAACAAGATTAAGATAGATTTTATATCTCAAAGGTTCTAGTTAAGTTTTTCTCAGGAGCTTCTAACCTTGAGTTTTTATAACCATCCTTTTAAATATATGGTTGGCCTGATATTTATGTGCTAATTCACAGATCATTCTCTTTTGTGAAGGCATGAAGTTAAGGTGCTGTGATGAGACAATCTCATTGAAAATACCAACAACACAGTTCTTAGTACAAGAAACAAAAAGTACTACAAACTGCTTTTGCTCGCCATGATGAATAGAAGGTGTCAACATTTGAGATTCTGGAGCGTTTGCCCACTAGTCAAATCTATACAAAATATTTTGGTGATCTTACAAAACAGAATAGTATGTTATGTTCAAAGTGTTATGAACTCAAGTTTGGGAGGACAGAGGGTTGGCAAAGAGCTGGTAGTACTAGCATTTGCTGCCCAGCACACCCAAGAACATGTGTGTCAGAAACAGTACTACAGAGACAAAAAAGAACACCCCAAGGTTTCTACCCCTACTCCATTCAGATTCCAAAGCACCTGTCATAATATAGTATAGTCTAGTGATTTCATATTAGAAACATGATAAATATGTCTTAAAGAATCTATCTATAGAAAACATACATATAAAAGTGTATATTTTAAAATAGCTAAAAATCTAAAATATCTATCAATATAAAACATTAATCTCTCTCCACAGCAATAGGGTTTTTATCTATGTAACAATATCACATCCAAAGCTCATCAGAAACCCAACTTAGACACTGATAACCGAACGCTCCCTCCCCCCACAAACACACACAAATATACATCACACATACATATACCAATGTGTTTATAAACATTATACACATACAGACATGCTTGTCCATTTGGGTCTTCACAGAAAAAAAAAAAAGAAGCATATGGTCTCTGACAAAACATCTCTTCACAGACATCTGTGTTTCCAACGTGTTTTGGTGTGAACATTCTGCTCCCAACTGAACACAGTGGGCACAGTACTTCTAGTTGCCTATCACGGTCCAAACAAATCTGTTTTTGTTACAGTAAGACATTCAGACATTCATGTATGAAGTTCTTCACATTTTGAGTGAAGAGCACTGCTGTAACAGCAAGGATTTTTTTTTTAATTTAAATTTAAAATTTTTTTGAGATTTTTTTTACTTGAGTATATAGTTCTGATAATTTTCTACCCTCCCTTCCCCCCACTACAATTGCCCCAATAGTCTATCAAATCCATGACCTCTTCTTCATTATTGTTACATACATATACTCGTGTGTGTGTGTGTGTGTACAGAATCTGCTGAGTCCATTTAGTATTGCTTGTGTATAGAAGTATTTAATGCTGACCAACTGGGATCACATAACCGACCAGGGAGCTCATCCTTGATTCTCCCTCTCTGGGCAGCCATTAATGATCGCAAGAATTCCTGATCATGCCTATAGTCCTTTCCAAACTATTTTAGCCTTTGCTTCTCCTACTTTTCTTCTGTAGTAAAGCAAGCAGTTGGAAAGAGTGTCTGGGCTTCAGGTTTTATTATGTGCACCCTGGAAATTTTGGAATGTCAGCACTAAGCCCTGGGTTAGGGAGGCACCCCTAACAGCCAAGAACCCAGAACCTTTGCCTGCTTATCTGATAATTAATCTCAACTTGCTTTTAAACAGCATCAGTAAAATAATCTCTTAGAAGAACTATGAGAAAGCAACTGTTTTCCTTGTCTTTGGATTATGCCAGGTAACTAGCATTCTAGGTAACACACAGTCTCCTGGGAGTGCCACACCCATGTTAAGTGTCTAGCCTCTAGATTTACCTAACAAACCATTTAATTATTTATACAAAATTAACTCATGAGGAATAAGAATGATTGGAGATTTATAATCCATTATCAGTGAACCCTATAAAGTAAAAATGTAGCAGAGAATCTTACATATAAAATTTATTTAATCATCTACAAAGATCACTGTGTTTTTAATTCAATTTGGTTATTTAACTCCAAGTTTTAAGTAACTGTGTTCTGAAAGTAATTGATGATTTATTGTATAATATCAGAGCTTGTGTTAATAGGCTTAATGCGGTCATTTAGAAGCAAATGAAAGAAAAAGCGATAAACGATGGGGGTGGGGAGCAGGAGTCTCTAAACATTTCTAGAAGAAACATCAGAGGTATATTAGGTCTGAAAATCCATGAGTTGGGCCCCAGTGCCCCGTGAGACGGACTAGAGGTATTTCCCTTACCCCTTCTTCTTTTTCTTCTTTGTACACTGTGAAGATAGAATTTGCTACCATGTCCCTTTCCATCTAGATCAGAGAAACTAGCAGAAACATAAGAGCGGCTGATGCAGTGACAGCCCCTGAGCTGTGATCGGGTGCTTAGTAATGGAAAACAACCTGATCCATTCCACCAAATGTGTGACATGGGAACCTGGACTGTCTTAATTCACTTTTAAAAACAGAAAGCCTATCTGAGCCTCTGTCTATGCCTCTGGTCTTCGGGCCATGGGACCACCTTCATTCTCTGGCTTAAAGGGTCCCAAGGAGAACCTGGTACCTCTCCTGAGTCCTCAGTGGGGTTGAGGTTGGGGAAGCATATCACTTATAGCAGGTGGAAGTGTTGTATGTAAGGATCAAGGCTCTCACAAACAGGAGTGACCATCTGGTGTCACAGACTCTCTCTCTCCATCCTGTCATTCTGAAGAAAAAACACTACCCCGGGCTGGTTTTAGTAAACTGTCCTAGCAAGTAGGAGAAGAAGATGTGTAAAAACTCTACGGAGGCACTGTAATCTACAGAAGAGGCTCATTCCTTATCCCCTCCCCATTCCTGACCACTGCTAAACCTCTGAAAGGTGGCTACATTTTCAGTATGTCCAAATTGACAGTCACAGACCTACTAAGGAAAACCATCACTATTATCTTAACTACCTAGGACATATACAGAATACACTTCTATTGGGCAATATACTCTATATTAGTATGTGCAGTATCTGTCACCCATCACAACGCTGGAACAATGCCACATAGTAACAAAAACCAACGACATTTAACACCCACATTCCCAAACACACATGTACGCACACAGACACATTACTTTGGGGATACTCATTGCTGAGGAGTGCACTCAGGCAGTTTCCCCAGACCCATAATTCACCATCTGAAGAGAAGCTGTCTGGAGGAGGAAATGTAAGTTAGGTGAACCAACTCTGCAGTAAACCCATGACATCCCAGCATGATGGTGACGTCCTGCCATAGTTCACTCCTTGTAAGCTATGTGTGGTAAAACCATGGGCCAGCATCAGCATTCACTTGTCTTTTCATGGAATATGAAAGGTAAACTGAGGTTTCTTTGGTGATGGTCATTTGCTTGCATGGCGGATTTTTCTTCTGTTGCTGCATGAATGTTGTCTGAATAAACATCTTCATCATCTTCTTCATCCCTGGGGTTCCCCTCCAAGCTGTGTCTAATACCATAAGCGAAGTAAATCAGAAAGCCTTTGGGGAGGAAAAGCATATCAATGTGTTAGGAAGGGTTTTAATGTGGACAATTTAATACAGTAAGTCTCCCCCTCTCTTTCTGTGCAACCGTGGGAAAACAGAATGTGTGCATATATAATATATAAACACAATCTGCTGAGTCTGCTTTTGTTATCCATGTGGATATGGCTTCAGGGCTGACCACTTTGCATTGGACAACCAATAAGGGGGCTCATCCCCGGGAGAGGCTAAGTCTCCTTCCTCCAGCAGTTGTTAGTTGTTGCCTGTAATTCTAGAGGTCGTTGTGGAATATTTAACCACGTCGAGATGTGTTACATTTGTTTATGCTGTGGAATATTACTTTAACTGAGCAACGGTGTGTGGCATTTGCTTCCGCTGCATTTGTTTAATGATGTAAAGATGTGTTGCTGTTGCACCTTGCCTTCCTAAGGCACCTGATTGGTCTAATAAAAAGCTGAATAGCCAATAGCTAGGCAGGAGAGGGATAGGTGGGGCTGGTGGGCAGAGAGAATAAGTAGGAGAAATCTAGGCTCAGGAAGAAAGAGGGCGAAAGAGAGGGAGACTCCTGGGGCCAGGCAGGCAGTCCCCAGCCAGCAGACGCAGAGTAGGACATACAGAAAGAAAGGCAAAAAGCCCCGAGGCAAAACAGAGATGACTCGAGCTAGCCAGAAATGAGCATAAGCTAAGGCTGAGCATTCATAACTAATAAGCCTCCATGTCATGATTTGGGAGCTGACTGGTGGTCCAAAAGAAAAAGCCTGTTAAGAGGCTATCAACTTGAGAGTTTTGTGTGTGTGTGTGTGTGTGTGTGTGTGTGTGTGTGTGTGTGTGTGTGTGTTGACAAGGGAGGATCTAGAGGGAGGTACCTAGGTGGGGCTTCAGGGAAGGAAGAGAAGAGGGAAAGTAATATAATTATATTTCAATTTAAAATATATTTAAATAAAAAAATCTTGAAAATGAAAAACAGAATGTGAAAATGAGATGTTGTACAGATCTGCTATCTAGACAGAGAGCACCTCTTCATTTGTAACATCCCAACCCTACAGAATATATTTTTCTCTCAACAAGCATTTTCAGACAGCAGTTAGGTGGAAATTTTCTACTTATGTTCTCAAAACTCAACAGAATAACTTTAAGCAGAATGATAGTCGAGGCTCACATTACACACGAAATCCTAGCAGTGAGTTATCAGAGTCATGGTCGGGTAGTCTGGAAAGCATGCCCCGTGTCCACTAGGGATATGGATGTCCTTCTACCTGTTACTGTCAAATGGGAGGCCTAGGGCCTGGGCACAAAATGACTGTCCATAACTATACTAACTGTGAGGGAAAGGAGGCCATGTTTTAACCATCCTTAGAGGAAAATTATTTATAAATATGTATTTGCCCATTCTTAGTTCTATTTTTAGAAAGCCGGGTGAAAGTTGGGATTGTTGTGACAACTATTGGTATATTCATAAGTTGGAGAAAGCAGAATCTGCGTGAACTCCAGGGTCACTGGGAGATTTGAATGAACGAAAAGTAGCATCTGAAGGGCTGAAGATGTGGCTCAGTGATAGAGGCCTGGGATAGCATGTCTGAGGCCTGGGTTGAGTCCTCAGCACAAAAGAAAGGAAAGAGAAAAAAAACAAAGAAAAGGTGTTTGGAAACATTGGGAAAGTAAACGTTGAGATAAAGGCAGAATGGGAGGAGGAAATGAGAACATTCAGTTTTAGGAAGGGAGCGAGCACATCATTCCTGTAACCACAACCCACAAAGCAAGGTGAACCAAACTCCACAAGTGTAAGGCATTACAAGACCTACCAAGCACCATCCAGATGCTGAATCTGACCCAAGTGTCCGCACTTAACTGGACCATCAAGTAGATGTTGACCAGGATACTGAAGGCTGGCAGAAAGGGTAAGAATGGGACCTATGGGAAGAAACATCCTTTGAATACAATGTTACAGTAGAAGCACGTTCTCCAAGCAACGTCAAGGACATGTCAATATCTGACATGTACTCCTACTGTGTCACTAAGCTTATAGTCTCAAAAAAAGAGAACCTGAATAAATGCCATCCCTATAGAAACTAGTGAAAGGAAAAATCACTGTTGACATTACATGCTGGAGCTGAAAGAAACACAGTCACATCTGCAGTTATCATCAAGACACCACAGGGCTTAGGCATCCGTGTAGCTCAGAGTCTAGTGGTTTCATTTGGCCATCAACAGGGAATGCTTCTGGAACTCTGGATACATGTAGCATCCTGGAGGATATACCCAAGCCTGCTCCTAGCTCCAGTGGGGTGGGATAATTCAGTTTGCAGGTGAAGGCACTTGGTGGGAATAAGTCCTCACAAGAGGGCTTCAAATTTCTGAAAATAAAACCCCCAAATTATCTTCCTTTCTTTATTTCTTTTCATCTTAATTTAATTATTAATTTTCAGAGCTGAGGATTAAACCCAGAATCTCAGGAATTATTTTTCTGATACTGTAGACTGTTCAACACAAAAATTATTCATTGACTGTATGTATGTATGTATATATGTATGTATGTATGTATGCATGTATGTATGTATGTATGCATCCTCAAGTTTTTAAGAAGGGGAGTAAGATAACTCATATACTGTGACTAAAAGGAATTCATCAAATAATTTTGACAGTCTTGTCCATTGATTGCTTTTGTTTAGAAAAATTAAACACAGAAAACACACAGATATATAATAATTAGGATTTCTAATTACTATTTCACATACCATGAAGGCTACTTTCTGCTGATTCTGTGGCTGCCTCCAAATGGTCAGAATGACGGCCGTGCAGAGAACAAGAAACAGGGCGAGAAGAGCCAGGCTCCAGGCTTCCAGTCTGGCAATGGCCTGGACTCCATGTGTGGTTAGAATACTCATGCCCAAGATGAGAAAGGCTGTGGGGGTCAGTACACAAGGCAGAGTCAGCACACGTCCTTTCCTCATGTTTCTCAGACCTAGTGGTCTATCCTGGCACAGTATCAAGTATCAAGTATCAAGCTCTTTATAATCTACTTTGCACACAGACCCCTCACTTCTTTTCTATTGTGAAAAAGAGACAGTGCACTTCACCCACCTAGGAAGCATGGACATGTTCTCATTTCTGTCTTTTTAGAAGCCAGCCTTCCCATTTGCCACTAACATCCTGCTTTGTCTGCCATGTGACTCCTCATTTCCTATCCTCAGTCTATATGGATAGGATGTTTTCGGTGGTGTGTGGCTTCCATTTTTTTCTCAAATGAAGAATGGAGCATTTGCCTATTTAAGCTATTTATAAAGATTATTTATTAATGCAAACAAGTAACATCACATGATCTGAATCTTCCAATTCCGGGCAATGATGTCAGGTTTCTTCTGATCATCAAGTATGCAATAAAAGCCCCTCTATCTGCTCTCAGAGAAACTTGTTCTTCCCTAGTTTGCCATGATCTTATTGTACAATCTCCAAGGGCAAGAGTCTGTCTTGCTACCCCAAGTGCCCAGAACAGTGTTTGACACACAGATAATACCCAGTAGATGTCACTAAACACAAAGAAGATTAGGTAACCAGTTGAGCAAACAAATCTTTCCTCTACTGCTTCCCAATACCATCAGGTTCCAGTTCTGTTACTTGGCCTGATTCTTCAACACAGGGAGCACCTTGAGCTAATGGAATGTGCCAGTGTATAATTCTGGCACTCTTACTGTAGGAATCCCTTGCTTTTGTGGGCATGTGTGAGACTGTGGAAATGTGTGTCATGGCATGCATGCGGAGGTCAACAGATAGCCTTGGAGGTTGGTTGCCACTTTCCACCTTGTTTGAGGCAGAGTCCCTTATTTGTCACTGTGTACAGCAAGCTACTGGGGAATTGTCTTTCTAACTCCCACCATGCCATGGTCACACTGGTATCACAGGCATGTACTTCCTCACCCGGCTTCACATGGGTTTTGGAAATCTCCACTCAGAACCTCACATTTGTGTAGCATGTGCTTACCCACAGAGCCTTCTTTCCAGCTCATAAATATTCCTACATAATATATCAGGACCTCAACTACCAGGACCTCAACTACCAGGACCTCTGTAGGTCAAATTTCATGTCTCAAGTTGGCTGCTAACTTATCCCATGCAATGTGAGGCCTTGTCCTTTCCCTCCCACAAGCACTGGTTCTACACACCCACATCTATTGGACCTTTCAACATCTGTAGTGAGAACTTACCCAGAAATCCCACCAGAAAGCTCACGAGGGAAGCCGACTGTCGAGTGGGCAGGGCAGAGGGGTTGAAGAGGGTTCGGAGGCTGAAACCCTGTCCTTGTATCATGGTGACCTGGGACTCGCTTTTTGACGTCGCACAGGTACACGATTCCAGAATTTCCTTCTCAGGGGTGTATTTGGGTTGCTCATAACACAGGCCAGGTTGGTACCTATCCCCAAATAAATATCGGCGTCTTTACTCTCATTGGCCCACGTGAAATTGCCACCTTAAACTCTTTGGTGAGATGCTTTACAAAGTCACAGCATGTGCAGTCAGGCGACACGTTTTGTGACTTGAACTCACAGTGTGCCCAGCTAAGGCAGGGTACAAACCTCTTCCATCAAATACCCACAGCAACTCCGAAGTCCCCCTCACTGCTGTGTAGTCAGAGAGTTTGTACAGGAGATGCCAAAAAGTAAAGTTAAGATTAAAGGTGAAGCAATGATGGAGACAGGATGCTACCTGAAGCCTCCGGTGCCCACTGGAATCGGGATTCATGAAAACGGCACAGGAACAGCCACCAGCTACAGAAGACAGAGTCTCCTGGGCTTGGGATTCAAAGGGTGCCATCAGAGTCCGTCTCTCTGCCCATGTTTCCTTGTTTCTAATCCGATTCATCTAGCTTCACCCAGAGATGCTCACTTAGCTACTTGGCCACCTAACTACGCCATGGGCACCATTTTCCTCTGTTATTTGTCCCCATTCCGCTACAAACCCTCAATGTATCACGTGCTTCACATCCTAGTACCCGCAGCCCTTGCTTATTTCAGAAACGCCCCCCCCCCCCCCCATGTAAAGAAACGCATCCACTAAGGAAAATGCACAAAGGAATACAGAAGGAAGGCACAACAACCCACAGCACCATTAACTTAATCACCGTTAGCATTTCGGTACAAGTTCATCTTGGAACGTATGCAGACATCAACATTCATTATTTCTTAATGTAAATCTGTAATGTTATTTAAACAAATTCAAATGCTGTAGCTTTGTATCTTCAAATTGGGATAGTTACCAATATACCGAAATGGCAGTTTTTAACCATATAAGAAGCCACTGAATAAATGTACCCTCTTTTACGTCACTATTCTCCTACTGTTACTCAAGTCAGTTATGTTTTCTTCACACTTGTTAATCTACCTTTTCTGTGAGCATCATTTACATCTATTTGTTGGTGTCTCCATGATAAGGTCTTTAGGAAAAATCTTAGCACTAAATTATTAATGCCAAAAGTACTGGTAAGTACATACATATTTGGTAGATATACATTTATTGACTTGGAAAAATATTCAGGATATATTGCTAATATAACAAAGGCAGTGCTGTGTAGTAGACAAGAATAGGGCTCTATTTGTCAGTCTGCTAGTATTTACAGTTCCAAAAACACAACACGTTTATGTATCTCCACACATTTTAATAAACTGCCTTGTAGACTGGGACCTGCTATTGGTAAGGGTCAAACTAACCTTGACTTTTTGCTAAAAGCCAAGTCTGCTTCCCATACTCTATCTTACTGCTTTAATGGCCACGGCCTCCCACTTTGGTGAAACTGTCGGCTCTTTGTAGTCCTTCCTGTCTCCACTCCCTGTATCCCACCGGGCACACACCCTTCAGAACCCACAGAGACTCACCTGAGGATGAGCACACAGGCTGCAACCAGAGAGTAGGCCATGAGGGTGCCGATGGACATCATGTCCACAAGAGCCTTCAGGTCAAAAAGGAAAGCCATCACAGCTATTGGGAAACAGATAAGAAAGGTAAAGCCGAAGGCCTCTGAGGACATTTCTTATAGTTGGTCACTCAGTCAGGGACAGCTGACTGACACTTTTCTCTTTGGGTACCAATAACAGATCAACATCACAACATCATAAGATGGTCTCTGGGCCATATAAACTGATAACACTAACACTTCAAAGCCCCCAGCTCTTAAGGAAACACTAAATACATCTGGTACGATTATTTCAAGTATGAAAATATTAAATAACAAAATACTGCGTTTTGAGGTCTTGGAAGGTAAAGAAACACTGCTAGGCAATACCAATTTTCTATATAACAGATTATATAATCACTTTAAATTCTATCTGTATCAAGTCATATGCAACTCAGAACATTTTAAGTAGTCTTTACAAAAATAACACGTATTTTTCAATAAAATGACGTTTTGGGATATAGAGTAAACTCCAATCAAATTAAAGCCACACATTCTGGAAGACTGATTAGATGGGAAAGATCAACTTACGATCCTGTACACAAAATCTCAATAATCTTAAAAAATAAAAATACCTTATATTACCTGAACTTACCACATACTACTCCCTATCTTAGTAAACAGATAACACCACATTCAATTTATATGGTGTCCTAGACTTCTTTACAAGTTTTATAGTCTATGACCTCACTTTATCTTCCATTAATGACCCTAGCAGGCAGAGGAAATTACTTCCATTTTAGTTACATAAAATGGACAGTATTTGACTATTTATTTGTTTACTTACTTATTTTTACCAAATCCAGCAACTTCCCATGGTCTTCCTTGATAGGATTATTCCTGTCTTATAGACAGGTTGACTTAAGAAGGTTACAATGGGTAGATACGAGCCGAGCTTTCCTATCCTTACAACCCCACAATATTTCATCTTCTCTCTGAATATGCACCACATGTCTCCCTCTGCAAACATCTCATTACTAGTATAATTATATAATAGATTATTAAACTTTTAGCATGCTTGTGATGACCACAGATAGCCAAATACTAATTATTCATATAAACTCTCCAATCCAAATGGAAAAATTTGCAAATTTGGGTGTGAGAATGTAAAATACACAATATTTTAGAAAACATTCCACCATTAACTGTCTTATTATAATGTTAAATTCCATTCTTTCTAAATGAAGGAAAAGTTAAATTATCTTTAAAATTCTACATTCAAAGTAGAATTATTAATGGGAAAGATTTTTACTTTGTGGAGAAGTATTTATGACATGGCTCATCTTTAACATTATGATGAACAGTGGTTCTCAACCTTCCTAATGTGCTGACCTCATGTACAGTTCCTCATGTTATAGTGACCCCCCCAACCATAAAATTATTTTGTTGCCCCTTCATAACTATAATTTTGCTACTGGTAATATAAATTTCTGACATGCAGGATATCTGATATGCAACCCCAAAAGGATTGTGACCCACAGGTGGATAACCACTGACCTAGAAAAATCATTTTATGAGGGCAGAAATTTAAGCCTGAGAAAAATGGTTTGACCTTCTCACATACATCTCAAGTGTCAGATTTAGAAGATGCATGCGAGGTGAAAACTACTTAGACAAATGTTTCTTGACCTGAAAGAAAAACCGACTGGCTAGGTAATAAAACATTCTTGATCCCAATTTCCCAGCACGTTAGAGTCTTAACAAAGTCAGAGTTTTTATTCGAACATCTACTCCTGAGATAGTTTCAATTCACTTAGCTATAAAGTTCACTACAGTCTTTCTCTTCTTTCTGTGTCGGGACCCTTAAGACTATTGTCTCAGTCTATACCATCCCTGGAAATTCCCGCATGCTCTAAGAACCTGGCCAGAGGTAGATAACATGGACACCATAGCATGCCAAAGTGTAGGCAATCTATATTCTAAAAGCAAAACCCACATGTCCAAACTACTGAAGGACAACTGGGTTCCTAGTGGGGGCTGAGAAGGTGCAAGTCTAACCCTGCTGGGCAACCCACTTCACTCTGGGCAGTGAGGACAATAACCAACTTCAGATTATCTCTGGCATTTCTTTTCTTACGGTAGACTAAGAGTTGATAAAGTTTAGTTTTTCGAAAGTCCTGCAATCATTATTTTAAAATTAGTACTTCCAATATTAAGCAATGGTTCAACTTAGAATTTTTTTCTGTGCCCAAATTATAACTTTATGTGCTTATTCACCAGTTAGAAAAGTGATACCTAATACTTAGTGGAGAGTCATTAACTCTTTGCACATTGGTTAGACGCCTGAATGGTTAAAGTAGTAAAAACACAGAATCCCCATTGATTAGTTATGAATGAATTTCAGTGTTTCACCATCACCGTAATTGTCAGATGTTAATCCCAAGATTCACACACTAATTTACCCATGATTTTGTTCTTAACTTACATGCACAGCATGCAGACCCTTTTTAAGTCCACGCATGCGCACAGCACGTTTTAGTCCAATGATGGAGAAACCCCGGGTTTGTAAAGCTTACCAGAAATGACCCCCGCGGTCAACGTGGCAGCAACGGGTGACTGCCTCTTACTCACTCTCGCAAGAAATCTAAACAGTAAGCCATCCCGGGCCATGGCAAACAGAATGCGGGGTAAGGGGAACATAGAACCCAGAAGACTAGAACAGAAAAATTCATAATCCAACGTGAGTTGAGTATCACTCTACCAGGGTACATACAGGTACACAAAGAAGTCAAAATATCAAAATAGGAAAGTCACAAAGTTATTGAACCTTATGTTAATCAAAACAGAAAACCACCTAACTCCACATTTTCCAGAGTTCTGGATGAAAACGATCCCCCTTTTCTTAGTAAAAGTCAACTCTCTCACCTGCCACTGCACCCGATGACAAAGTAGCAATTATTGGTGTCTTCGTTTTGGAATTGATTTGAGCTAGACATTTGAAAAGCAACCCATCCTCCGCCATAGCATAGATTACACGAGGCATTGGGAAAATGGATCCAAGAAGACTGAGTAAAAAGCAAAGACATGCAGTATGGCAAACACAGTCATGCATGATCACACCCAGAAGAGAAACACAGTGATTGTATAACACTCAGCATAGCAGCTGGGACCAAGGACTCACATAGGCTTACAGTGCAATATAACTGGGCATTTAAACACACCTGCCAATAACGGCCATTGTGTTACTCATTACTCTTGCAAATATCTGCCCAAACAAATTATAAGACTGAAAACAATATCACAAGTCATTTGTTTGTATCCATGATTGTTACTGAATTAAAAGTGAATTAGACTTTGCAAAATAAAATGAAGGATGAAACACCAAGATGTTTTAGTGTTAACAATTCAGAAAGCAAAATTCCCAAATTAATGGGTCATTAAAAAAGATTAATCAATTTTATGTCACAGTAAGTCACCCACTTATACAGTGATTATGTATTTTTCATATTACCACGATTTTGCAACCCCTAGCTTGATATTTGATACAAGTAATAGTTCCAAGCATCAAAATTATCAAGGTAAACAATGGCTTAAAAAACAACATAGTATAGATTTAGTATATAGAAGGAGCTACAATTAAGTGTTGGTAACGGTGAGGTTTAATGGGCAATTTTTGCTTAAGGTAAATTCAATTATTTATGTTTACTATTATGTCATTCTACATATGATTCAGCTGTGAAAATAACTAAGAAAAAGAGGTAAAATAATTGATTTTAAAAGCTTATTTATTTATTTATTTTGGCTGGGCATGGTGGCTCATGCCTGAAACCCTATCAGTTGGGAAGTTGAGGCAGAAGATGACTGAATTTTGAGGCTAGCCTGGTCTTCACAGCGAGAATCAGGCTAACTGTGGCTACACAGCAAGACCTCATCTCCAAAAACAACTATTTTCTTTTCTTTTTTACCCCATTATTTAGAGAATATTTTATTAGTTTCTGTCATCAAACCTGCACAGATGATACCATACATATTTAATTCAGTGTGTTACCCTTGCACAAATGGAAAAAAATAAGTTTAACATTTCTAGTCCAATGTAGCTGTTGGTTTCTGTACAATGCCAACCCAACACAGTAAACTGAGAAACTTTTTTTTCCAAAGTTGACAGCAAAAGTTTCCAAAAATCCAAATTATATATGTGCAAGGACCAACCATAGTAGTAGGCTGTGCATCAATAGTTGATGTAGCCACAGGCTTTGAAAATCATGGTGGCACAGTATCTTCAAAGTTTGGACTTCAAACTATTCAAAATTCTTCATAATAAACCTCACCAACAGCAGATGACTGAGAATTCCTAAACTTGGTTAGTATTATTGGGACCAGGACACTAGAAACTAAAAGCACATTTGAAAGAAGAAAAATAAAAGTCACGTTGATAAATAATATATTGAGAAAAATGTCTAGTTTCAGAATTGTGAAAATTGTTTTCAATTTAAAAAAGGAATTCTCAGGCAAAAAGCTTTTCTCTTTGTGAGAATGTTCTACTCTGCAGTGTAGTAAGAACTAGAACAAAATGTGTTGCTTTGGAACATATGAGAGGCTTTGGAAACCTGAGCTGTAATATATTAAATGAGGAGCTCCTGGAAATCTGAACATTTGACAGTCAAATTCCCTTTTCCTTTCATATAAATAAATAACGTCCACTGGTAATTTCAGAATGGTAATTTCTGTCTCTTGAATAAATCCACTCTGATCAGTGCTCTAAGGAAAAAAGGTTCAGTATGTCACAGTCAGAAGCACACTTCCATTTAAAAAAATGACAGGCGTATGGCTTCTGGTCCCAGACACATTGTTGCTTTACAGAGAATTGTCCCAAGGGTGAAGTCTGTGTATGGTCTCTAAACAATGTGAACAATACTGATGGCAGTAGCACAAACACCCCAAAGGTATCTAATGTAATATGTGATTGTGTGTGACACAGGTATGTGGGTGTCCCAGTGTTATGCATATTACTATTGTAGCTTAGACCACCATTATCTTGAAGGAAAAAAAATGGCTTAGCTGATGATGGTCGCTTTTTCTTTTTTTGGAATCACTCAAGATTTTTAGAAGGAGGTTCTGGGCAAATTATTCATTGAGTGCATAGTTGTATAATGCATTCCTCATGCTAGGATATTTTTAGAATATACAAAATCCATCTTGTGGTACCAGTGGCTAGGGTACTGACCCAGGGCCTCCAGAATGCTAGTCACGCATTCTACCACAGAGCTATCCTTAAAACCCACTAAAGCAAATTTGAAGACATTGACTACACTTTGCAAGACCCCTGGGAGACCCAGTCCCACGGACAGTACCATGTACCTTGTTGACAAGGCGCAGAGGGAGCCTGCAGCAACCACGTATTTGGCGGGACCCCAGCCAACATATTCAAATGCTACAGGAAGGGGGCTCTTCTCATCCAGGAGGTAGTAAGGCATCATAAGCGTTAAAGCTGCAGAAACCCCAAAATAGGCCATAAAGCAAACCAGTAAGGAAGTCACTATTCCGATGGGAATAGCTTTTTGGGGATTCCGGACCTCTTCACCTAAGGAAACACAAACAGAAGGTTTGCAGGGTTAGGTAAAGGTCAAACAGCTTAGGAACTTCCTGTGGATCAGAGCACACTTCACCATCAGCTCCCCCTCCCCCCCCCCCCCCCCCCCCCCCCGGCCTCCATGGTCATTCTACCATGGTTTTTTCCCTTCTACATTCTTAGTGGGTTCTATCTATTTCAAGTGAAATTTCCTTTCTCTTCTTCAGGATACTTTGGTATTAACAAAAAACGATCCAACTATCAGAGGGAGAAGAGAATGGAACATACAAGTCAGTTTCTTACTTGCAAAAAGTCGGGGGGAAACAACCCATGAGCCCTTCCTAAGTGTTTAGGCCTAGAATGGCAGTTGATGTGGGAAACAGCCACACTGGTATTTTGTAAGCTTTTGAACTGCAAGGCTTCAAACAAATTTATTTTATCTATTTATATGGAACTTTAGTTTCTATTAAAAAAAATCAGAATATCCTTCTTACAGGATTAACATTTGAAGCTCCCCAGACACGTGTGTGAATTACCAGGCTATGCACCTGGAAAGCTTGAAAGATGCCAGGATGAGTATTTTGTCACTTGGGATAAAGAGAAAAGAAGTGGTATAGTATTTTGCCTGGTGAATGAAGAGACATTTTAAGACAATGACCGTTCTGGAAGGCACAGAACTTTTAGTTGAAAGGTTAAGGAATTGTGAGCATCATTTAAGATTCCTCATCCAATCAGCCAGATGTGTTGTCTTAGGTGGTCGTCATAATATCCTCAGGGTAGGTGCTGCTCTGGACAGGACAGACACCAATGCTAGGAGAGTTTCACCCAGTGGCTTTTTTACCAGATGCAGCGTGGGCCGCGGGTGGATCTGGAGTTGGTACCCTTCCCACCCCAGATCTCATCCTTTCTCCTTGACCCTCTGCTGTACCTGTAGCTACCTACCCCTGTGGTACCCTGTGCTTCTATCGAGGAGACACCGCCCTTACCAGTTGTTGCAATGCAGTCAAAGCCCACAAAGGCATAAAAGCAAGTTGCAGCGCCAGCCAAAGTTCCGGTGAAGCCATAGGGCATAAAGCCCCCCGCCCCATAGATGCTTGTTCCGTTCTCAGAAGGTGGTTCTCTGGAGAAAAGAACAGACACAATCAGCCACTTCACAGAAACAGTACCTTCTGGTGATTTCTCTCAAACCGCATCCTTGGAAGACTGTTGTTGCTCATTGGCTCTTTGGAGCTAATGTATATAAGACCCAAACTGTATTCTGTCATTTTGTTCTGGAGAACGTGGTAGACTCCTCACAATGATGCTCTACGTCACTGACATCCAACGACAGGCTATTCAACAGCAAATACAGAAGGCCAAGACCAAGTGTGTGTGTGTGTGTGTGTGTGTGTGTGTGTGTGTGTGTGTGTGTGTGTGTGTGTGTGTGTATGAGAGAGAGAGAGAGAGAGAGAGAGAGAGAGAGAGAGAGAGAGAGAGAGACTCTGAGCCCACACTGGCCTGGAACCTGCAATATAGCTCAGGCTAGACTTAAACTTCTGTCAATCCTCTTGCCTCGGCCTTCTGTGAGCACCACTGTGCTGATCTACATAGACATGTGCTAGATGGAGCACACAGGCAAGCAGGATTTTGACATCAGAGATCTCATATGTGAGCCATGCTCTACAATAAAGGTAAGGAACTTTCTCTCTCCCCTCCCCCTGCAAAGAATCAATTTTTAACACATGAAACAAAAAGAAAGGCAGACTGTACATCTTTAAAATTCATCTAGGGGCTGGTGATGTAATGTAAGTTGTGATGTAATTGTGATGTAAATTTACAGTAATGTAAATCGGTGACAATGTAGAAGCACTTGTCACCAAGCCGGACAACCAGCGTTTGATTCCCAGAACCAGAACAATATCTTGGAAGAAGACAATCGACTCTTGTAAACTGTCTTCTGACATCTACCCACTTATCTCAGTTACACAGACACACAGAGACATACACACAGTCACACACACACACACACACACACACACACACACACACACACACAGATACAGAGACACACAAACACACAGATAAACACTGAATAAATAAAATTAAAAAATTGAAAAAAACCCCAAAATTTACTTAGAATATAGTTGAAAAAGTTAGAACATAATCCCATAGGCTTGATTAATCATCCTGAAAGTTTAATGCTTTACCATATATTAAAAAATATAAGACCAGTAGACACTATCTTTTCCCTATCAGGATGACTGGAAATGACATATATAAATAAAAAAACATGTTCATACACCTTACACATATAATAGATACTCCTGTAATCTTTTTTCTGCTTATGAAAGTAATACTACTAATAAAAATAAAATGGCCCCCAAGTGAGTGGCACTAATGGGAAGTGTGGCCTTGCTGGAGAGAGTCACGCACAGTGTCTCAGATCACTTCCTGCTGCCTGTGGGATCAAGATGTAGCTCCTTCTCCAGCACCATGGCTGCCCACATGCTGCCATGTCCAGCAATGATGATAGTGTACTAAACCTCTTAAACTGTAAGCCACTCTATTAAATGTTTTCCTTTATAAGAGTTGCTGTGTTCATGGTGTGTCCTCACAGCAGTAGAAATTCTAACTAAGACAGGCTCCCAAAAAGAAATTTTTTTTTCAAGACAGGGTTTCTCTGTGTAGCTCCAGCTATCCTGAGCCTTACTCTATAGACCCGGCTGGTCTCAAACTCAGAGATCTGCCTGCCTCTGCCCCCCAAATGCTGGGATTAAAGGCATACAACACCATGTGGCTTCCAAAATCCTTAAAAGCCTGAAAGCATGCAAACCATGAAACTGATGGTCCCAAAGGAGAAACCACAGGATGCAAGAATCAAAAATATTCCTAGTTATTTAGAGCTGGTGAACTGTTGGGGAGCAGAGGGGGAGCTCTTGCAGGATTCGACTCTGCCCTAGAGGCTGCCTTGGGGGCCAGCATCTGCAGAGCTTCACCCAGTAGCTCAGTTGGAAGCCCAGCCCTACCTTAGTGTGGGGAGCCTAGGAAGAGGAGTCGCATCCTAGAACCATCCTCCAGAAAGGTCTCAGCACCAACAAGACTGAGAACAGCTGCTCTGAAGAGAAGTTCTCTTAAAATGTAAGAGAAAGAGTGGAGGGGGGAGGGAAGAGAGAGGGGAGTAGGAGTGACTAAATATTTTACCTGGCACCCGCTGATATATTTTTGAGAAATTCTTCACTGATCTTCCAGTTAGCCAAATTTCCTTTCACAAACCCGGCCACCATTACAAAGAGAAGGACCAGGATATTAATAGCTGTGAAGAATTTATTCACCCACGCAGACTCTTTTACTCCAAAAGATAACAGACCTATGGAAAAGGAGAAGGCATTAACAGGGCTCTTTACCCGTAGAAAAGGCAATGGTATCTTAATGTCAATACATGCACCGGATATTACTGCACCAGCATTTATATATTTATGAATATGAATACCTTTCATTTCTTCAATTCTACGGCTAGTTCACTTAATCACTTTTCTGTGAAGCAATGCCTTTGGAGACACCACTGATTTTGATTTCTGGAAGCAGACTGTGCTCACACTCAAGAGTTCCACACTGTCTATGTAAGTTTAGTAACCCTGGTTATTATCAGAACACCTAACTAATTTGAAAGGCTGTCCTTAAAAGCTATTCCAGGGCTAATGTAAAAGTCTGCCATGCACCTTCTGATCGTATCACCAGAAAATAATTCTCCTAAGTGCCATGCCAAAAACATTCTCTGTTAAATTCATTCTCACCTGACAGACTTACTTTATATTAGGAATATAAACATCCTATTCTAGTAGTTTGAAAAAACAGAACAGAGTAAAGAATGAAGATCAGCTATGATATCCCTGCAGAATTCTCCACATACACACACATATATTTCTGCACCAACAAATTTATCATCAGTTTTAGCAGCTGCAGAACATACTATGTGGAGATATTTTAATCCCTTATTTATAGACAATTAGGTCACTCTTGCTTTTATTTTATAAACAGCACTGACATCATTGCCATCTTATAAATACCCTCCTGCATTTTCTAACATTTTCCTTATAGTAGTCTTACAAATTAAGTGTATGGGAGGGCATGCAGTATACATGTATGTGTGTGTGTGTGTGTGTGTGTGTGTGTGTGTGTGTGTGTGTGTGTGTAGTATATAGCATGTCCATGTGGGTGTGTGCATGTGTGCATGAGAATGCACATGGAGGCTGGGGGTGCAGATGCACATGGCCATTCCTAGCTTTTAGATGAGTTCTGGAGATCCAGACTCACGTTTTCACGTTTGGATGGCAGCCTCTTCACCCACCAAGTCATCTTCCCAGCCCCAGGACATGCATTTTCATACAAAACAATTTTGGTCCCACTTTCATTATACAAGTTTTAAGTCAGAGTAGTTTATTCATACTGATTTATAAGAGGTATTTATATACTAATGTTATTAGCTCTCTGCCAGTCATTCATGGAATATATAGTTTCCATCTCCATCATATTAAAAATGACTTCAATTGGTTTATTTCAGTAGTAAATCGAGAGCCCATGCCCTTGTGTGTGCTAGCCAAATGCTCGCAATGAACTTCACTTTCATCCCAGTAACTTGCTTTTAACCATAACCCATTGCTTGTAAATGTAAAATTTTGTTAGAATAACCGACATGTACCTATTTTAGTATCTACTTCTAATAAGATTTTCCCCAGACTTTGACCTTCAAATATTCACGTGTTTCCTTTTAGTTTTTAAAGGCTTATTATGCTTATCCTATCCGCATCTTTAACCCACCTGACACACTATATGAAGTAGGGATCTTAGTTCAACGTTTACTACTGGGGCAATGGTTTCTATGAAAAGACAATGCCACAGATCTACTATCTTTTGCCCTGTATACACAGCACCCACTTCCACAGAAGCAGAACTGTGCAAGCATGGATGAGAGCAGTTGACTTTCATTCTTCTGCATGTACAGTTCCCCACTCTGACGTAACAACTGCATTAATGGCATAAAGGAACGTCTCTCATTAATATTAAAGAATGGATGCTCTCAAAACAAAAGCTGACATCTCCATCCTATGACTTCCTGCATTCCAGGTGCCTGTTCCTCCAAAGCGAGGTTTCTCCCTTTCATGTACATTTAATCCTATTGTGAAACAGAGAAGATAAAGCCCACAGTGACCCAACACTGACCTTAGCGGGCCTTGATACGATATGCTGACCTCATTCAGAGAACCCAGGCTGCAAATCTGTGTGACCTACTTTCCCAGGGGCCCATTGATGTGGTTCATTACAGGAAACAGCATATGACTGATTTTCTTACCTGCCAGAAGCAATATAAGGCACACCGCAAAGAAGTCTGGATATTCCGCCAGGCCAGTGTAATTCATTTTGAAGTACGTCTTGAAAAACTGACCGATCTGTTTGTTAAGAAGTTCATCGAAGGTGCCACTCCACGCTCTTGCGACACTGGATGTACCTTCCCAAAGCAGAATGTTCAGAGAATAAAGGTTACTGGTAGAAAATTAACATAACTCATCTGATTAGTTGATTCCTGGGTAAACCTGGCTGGCCTAGGTCACACCGACTGAAAAATTTAACCATATTAGAAGACCAAATTAATACCCCTCCCCTTTTTGAGGCAGGGTCTTGGCATGGAGCCCGGGCAGACTTCATACAGGTGTGCAAATGCTGGTATGAGGCAACTTTATTTGCAATAAAGAACTCTTTAGAGGCTAGGGAGATAGCTGAGCAGTTAAAGCACTTCCCGCATAAGCAGGATGTCAATTCAGATCCTTAAGTAAATCCCACCGGGGAGCGAGCTTAGCGGGTAAGTCTAGCCTCGGAAGGTAGAGGCAGGGCCCCCGAAGCTAGCTGGGTAAGACTAGCTGGGATGTAACCATTGGGCTCACCTGAGAGATCCTGCCTCAGAGAACAAAGCAGAAGAGGCATTGAGGAAATTCCTGACATATTCTCCGACCTCCCCGTGGACCCCAGGACAGAAGCATGTGCACCACCATACATGTGTGCACCAGCGCGCGCACGCGCGCGCGCGCGCGCACGCACACACACACACACACACACACACACACCCCATATATAAACTCATGAAAAGAAAAAAAAAAGGTATTTTAAAAACTCCAAACGACTTCCAAACTCATTAAGAATCACAAATTCAAAGGTGAAGCATAATCAGAGACTTCAGCCGTGAGGACGTATTTTAGAGATGACAAAAAACGAGAGGCGGGAAGACCTGATTCTCTCAGGAGCACCCCACCGCTGAGAAAGATCAGGTTTACCCCTAGCGCCGGGGCTCTGGAGAGCCATTTTACACCCTGTCCACAACTGATATTTGCTTTTGAAATATACCTATGACATATGACAGGATGAGATTCCAGCCAGTGATGAAGGCCCACAGTTCTCCAACCGTGACGTATGTGTACAGATAGGCAGACCCAGTCTTGGGAACTCGGGCCCCGAATTCAGCATAGCAAAGGCCTGCCATCACTGAAGCCAGGGCGGCGATGAGGAAGGACACCACGATGCTGGGGCCAGAATCTGCTTTGGCGACTTCCCCAGCCAAGACATAAACTCCAGCTCCGAGCGTGCTTCCAACCCCCAGGGCGATGAGGTCCATGGTGGTCAAGCAGCGGCAGAGTTTGGAATCTTCTAGACTGTCCAGCGTGACGATTTTTCTCCGGATCAGACATCGCGCAAAAGTCAGCACCGCTCTGCAGGGAATCATGGTGAAGAGAGCACCCTAGGGGAGAAAGGTGGGGAGGGGTTACAAGGAGGGTTCTGCGGCCATCTCCTCTCCCACCGGACAAAGACAGACAGCGGGCTCCCCCCTCCTTTACCTAGCAGGTACTTGGTTCAGAGCAACCAACCAGGAGGGTTAAAGATGAGAAAACCACACATTTCTGGGGTTCACTCACACATGCCAAGTTAAAGGGACTCCATGTGTGAGTGAACCCCAGAAAAGTGTGGCTTTCTCAAATGCCAAGGTTGTACTAGGAATATATGTAGAATGGTTCACGCCTGTGTGGCCTCTCATTTAAGGGACTTACAGTCTAGCTATGGCCTAAAGGTAGGTAGAGGATGGTGGTTATATACTCAAACGCTTTACTGAATGTGTCAGAACCACTTCATTTTCCTCTTAAGCTGGGAACAAAAGAGCAGACGTAAACTCACTAGAAGAAAAATCTGCTTCCCAAAGCATGCTTAGATTTCTTTTATGAAAACTGCCATCCATCCATGCTTTAAGTATGGGTTGGTCTGAAACTACATGTGCCTATTATGCTTGAGGTTTTAAAACAAACAAGTTCAAAGCCTGTGGTGTTATCTCACATTCTTTTCAAATGGGACAAATAATGAAGAGAAAGAGCTCCATTCTCCACAGTTGGCCCAAACAAAGTGTGGATTTCAGTAATGTACACACACACACACACACACACACACACACACACACACACACACACACACGTATTGTACTGCAGCAAAAAAAGGTCTGAACCAAAATATTTTCCTAACCATATTTTGATGGTGAGTTAATTTTTTACTTGTATGTACTTCACCTAATACATATTGTTATTATCTATCTCTGGGTTAATTCCAAGGAATATGTATAACTTATATACAAAAGAAATATTGCAATTTTAAAAGTCTGTTTGACTTTGTCTACAGAGACATGTAATTCAGTAGACTGAAGACAACTGATGCTGTGTATTCGTCAATGCAACCGTAGACATTACGTCATGTCCGCTTGCACTTCAGGGGCTGAACACCTACACAATGCTGGTGTAGCGTGCTGGTCCCTTCAACTTCATCATATTCATCATCAATAACAGAAACTTATGAGCCTGCTGCATGCGACACTCGCCTTGTGTCCTTAGCCTTAGAACATTTGGGCTCTAACATCCCTGTAGAATCAGGGATTCTGATGACAGCAGGAGTAGGTACATATCCTTTCTGAACAAATGATTATTTTATTAACTGCTAAAACAGTAGCTTCACTTGAGGAAGAAAAATACACACGAGCTGAGATTGAAGATAATTAGGCAAAGGGGGGATTAACACTATGTGCATGTCTCTGTATGATTTTATTGAGGCGAAGGATACACGTGAATCTTCCCCAGCCCACTCCCAACCTGAAGAATGACAGTTTCTAAGTATCAATACTTCTTCAGCAACCTGGAGATGTAACTTCTAAATCTTCTTCAATCGAGGTCGTCAATTTGACAGCAGAGAATTCTGAGTCTAGTAAACCCTCATACCTGACAATTCAATACGGGGGGGGGGGGGCCCGCAGCTATCCCCCCAAGGCCCCATATGTATTATTTGAAATCTGTTAGTTACTGGATTGTGGCTTTATTTCCATATTTGATGCAAAAGTCACAGAAACAAATCCTTCCGCTCCTGCCCTATGACAAGGCTGATATGTCAAACTTAGTCCCTGCACCATGATCACATGCCCTCATAAAAATACTACAGGAGGAACAAAAGGAGGCAAGCCAGTGAGGCAGTGGTCCCAAGAGCCTGCGACCAATTAGCTTGTCCCAGTTAGAACCCAGGCTTTTCTTCCTCATTCCTCTGACAGTTTCGAGGTGGGGAATGTGCACTTAGCATTTCTGGACTGGCAGAGAGAAATGCAGTTACCATGTATATAGGACAGGGATCCTTACCTACACGCCCCCCCCCCCCCCCCCCCCCCCGCTGCCCTTTTTTTCTTCTTCAGATTAGATACTTTGATTTTATAATCTCCATAGTCAACATCAACTATGTCCCTACAATTTTTAAATTCCAACACAAAGTTTTAAATTATATTATAGATTAAATAAGTCACCAAAAGGAGAAAATGATAATGTCATGGATAGTGGTAATTCTTTTTACTTATCTTTGAGAAAAATTTTTCAAAGCAAAGTATTATTTAATCAGAAATGGTGACTGTTGCACCTGGACTAGCCAATAATAACAAAAACAAGCTTTAGCACTGAAACCTCACAGTACTGCTTTCCTGAACAACACTTTTCTGTATTTATTTCCCCTAACAGCTTAGCCTATCTTTTTTCCATATCGAATTTTCTGAACAAGTTCTTCCTCTACGGTATTCCTCAGATAGGTGAATGGCAAAGTAGAGAAAAGTAAAAAGTGAAGACACAATCGAGGTCATCACAAACGTACCAGTACGGCAGTAATGGCGTATGCTCTTCCTTTTTAAAGGACTGAATCAGTACGGCCAGAAAGTTGAGGCAAAAATGTACTATTTCAAAATTTCCCATGGGCAAGCATTTCTCCTAAGGTTATACAACAAATGAACAGCTGATGCAGGATCTTGGAAAGTTCCTAAAGACAACGGGTGGTGTGTAACACGTGGGCACACTTACCTCAGGGACCGTGAAAACACAGCCGTGCTACAGATCGAGCAGTTTCATTGAAATAGATGGAACGTGATTTTTTTTTTTTAAAGTGTGTAACTTTGTTCCCAGGGGAAGGGAAGAGAGAATGAAGCAAAAAGGGAAATAATGAAAGCAAAGCCCTGGGCTCTGTGGTAACCAGAGTAGCCGCCCAGTCAGCACTCTGCCCTGGCTTGGTCGCAGCAGCATGAGCACTCTCCAGCAATGGCTGGCCAATAAATCACCCTGAATGCCACAGGGCACCACCTGTTGCAGTTTCCCAAGCTACTAGTGCCAGTCACTCCAGAGGCACCACTGCAAACATCAGGAGATGCCCTTCCCAAAACTATTTTATACCCGCCACTAATTCGCAAGTGCTATTGTTAAAAACGGAAGGTCTCTGCTGCTTTTAATGTGCCCGGTACTCCCTGATACCTTTTTTTTTTTAATTGTCCCATCCTGTAACTTTTTCAATGTTCCTGTAAGATCAGATGAACAAACTAAGGTATTGTATAGTTAGCCAACATCACAGTCCACCTATGATGGAAATGAGATGAAGCCTATTGCCAATGGCTCTGGAGCAATGGTTCTCAACCTATGGGTCTCAACTGCTTGGGGTGTCGAACGACCCTTTCACAGGGGTTACATATCAGATATCCTGCATATAAGATATTTAGATTACAATTCATAGCAGTAGCAAAATTACAGAGGCTGGTGGCGCGGCCTTGGCAGCACCATCAGGCCTTCATTGGTAGCTTCTGGTTTGAATGACCAGACACAGCTCAGCACAGCTTACAGGTACAGGGCGTTAGCTGAAACAAAGCAGAGGAAACCAGTCTACCAGTGCAAGTTCAGCAGGGCTGGAGGGAAGAGAGAAGACGACCGGTCCCCCTCTGGCCATGTCTCCCTGTAGGGGGGAGCACATCCAGTCACTTCTACTCTGAGGGACTTGCAGCCTAAACACTATTGGTTTGAGTATTCCAGTCACTGGGTTCTCTAGAGTTTGGGGGACATCCGAGTGTACCCCGCCTGCCTGTCTCTGGTCCAGCTACCTGTGGCTTCGAGGTGGGAGACGAAGGAGCAAGTGGCCAGTGGTGGGGGCTTGAGCAGAGCGGCCACGCTGCACAAATAAACAGAATCAATGCAAATCAAAACAGCAAAATGAAGCAAATCAAAGGGGGGGGGTGCATTTAATGTTGCTTCTTCTTAAAGAAACTTTAAAAAATGAACGTGACTGTTTTAAAAACAGTTCCTGTTACCTTCATTCTACCTTTAATGCCCTGTCAACTCCACGATGCCAAGAAAATCCAGATGACTCGAAAGAACCTATGTTCTTAGCACCTTCTGAAAGCAGCCAGTGCACAGGAAACAAATTGCTTGACTTATTTCTGGGTTAGTCACCACATTTCGGATTCCAGATGCTGGAAGTGTGAGCCTGGACCAGGATGGGGGTTGGGGAATGGCAGAGGTCTTTTGTCTGAAGGCAAAGAACTGATAAATGCTTTAGGACACTCTGATTTTCCTCTCTTCACTCTCTTTCCAGAGGCAAAACACCCCCTTTCAACCCACCCCCCTGAACTGCCCCCAAAGTTACTCAACTGAGCTGGCTGTCAGAATCCTACTGCATTTGTTTCAGTACTAGTCAAAAATTCCTTCCATCAAACTGTGGTGGGAAAGGAATTTTACAAGAATTCACACCCATTTTTTAGCTCAAGAAAAATGTAGCTGGATACCTAGTTTTGTGGTTTTGCTACAAAGGGGAGGGGGAAGGTCACTTTTGACACTACATTTTCAATTTTGAAAAGAATGCCCTGATTTGGCAATTCTTAAATTCCGGGCACAGTGTATGAGCAGAGCCTGTTATCACGGGCATCTTGGGAAGATCCTTGAAACACTGCTGTTGATTAAGGGAACTTTGTTAAGTTCACTTGGCTTCAGCTAATTCGGAATAAAACACTCCTATTGTGTGCTCAGAGGAAGAAGGAAACCCACGCCAGCTCATCCCCATGGTGCAGAACCACAAGTTATATTTAGAACATGCAAACGAAGGATAATGTGAAAATCGAGCCCAACTTGAAACAAGGAAGTTCTTAAAATGCAAGCCCGGCTGTCTTGAAACGTTATTAATATGCCATAACTGTCAAGAACTGCTCATACAAGTTTTCAGAAAAAAATCTGTCTTTATTTTCATATTTCTGTAAAGACTGAATTCAGCCAACCAACTGCTCAAGAAAACGTTAAGTTATCTAAAAGGTCGAGTCTTAGAAATTTCAAAAATTGAAACTTTTTTTTTAGCCTAAGTGGAATTCCTTTAAAACCGTTCTAGGGAGCACTGAGACAGGGAGGGGAGAGACAGGCCGACTGGGCA